GCACCAAATAACGTAGGTGGGCTGTCCTACCAAAAGTATTCTGAAATGACGGGAATCGTGTACATAACTGCGTGCCAGTAGTTCTCTTGCCGCCAATCTTCAGGGTACTGGAACGTGTAGTGGTGGGTGCAGGTCAGTTGTTCCCCACTGGGAATGACAACACAAAAATATCGGCCATGCCTGCTAAACGCGACCGATTCCTGCATGATCCATGCCATGTCTGAAGAGCCACAGTCGCAGACAGGGGAAGAGAAGGAAACTTCAGTTAATAACCCAAATAGGAACACTACGATGGTTGTGCACGGAACACCAAAACTGATATTTGGTCACTGATAAAGGCAGATGAGACATCGAACGACAGCAGTGGCTCGCAAATAAATTTGGCCTCCACAATCTAAGGGCGAAAAGCATCAGCAGACCGTTGAGACCAACCTGTTTAAAGTCCGTCCCCACCCCTATGCCACTAGCCACTCAATTTGGCCCCTATGCTTTATTTCCCGCATGCATGCGGCACAAGCGGCGTAATATGCATATGTGGGTGTGAACCGGGATTAGCTAAAAAAGAAGGTGGACAGGGGATAATCAGTGGCTGTAACACCGGCACAAGCTAGTGAGTCAAGTATATCGAATGGTGGAACTTCTCACACCACAATCCCGGCGCAGACCGAAGATGAAGCACGGGAAAACAGAGCGATTCCAGTTTTTAGAGGAATGGCGATTGTAGGCTGGAGCCCAACCATGTAACCGCCCCCCTTGCTGGAATACGTCACCGATCCACCCATCCAGTCCATCCGAAGAAGCACGTGCAGCAGCGTTAAAGGTCTGAGAGGAAAAAATCAGAGATGAGAATCTGAACGCTTTCACCGATTTCGCACTGGCAGCAGAATCATGTTTCTGACCAGATGCCCCTGAAAAAGGGATGCATGTTGCAGAAACGGAGCTTTTCGACTGGAACAAAGAGCTCAGATTGGAAAATGGAGTTTTGCTCTAGATAGGTACTCGTCTAAAAGCAAGAGTGCTGAGCGACGCTGCTCTTGCTCAACTCCCAGAGCCTCTGTAGCGCTGCCTCGCTCTACCGGATCAGCTAACTGTCTGGAATCTTTTGTCGGTGCTCCTGATCACAAGGAGATGGCCATCAGGATAGTATGAACCACAACCTCTGTGGACCACGACTCCATTATCATCAGCGGCAACTTCGACATTCCGTCCATCCTCTTTTAGACGGAAGGAGGGCTGGCTACGAAATCCTCCAGCATGGGTCTGAAGAGCGCGATTAAGGAACTAAGCCTCTCACAGATGGTGGATGATGTCAGACGTCAAGGGCCTGACGGACACTGATCACATCTGGACTACATTCTGACGAAAGGTGGTCATCTCATCGGGAACAGTCTCCCAGCCGCCTCGCGGCCTCATGGCTTATGAGAGCTTACTCCGTGGGTGCGTCATGGTCTGGAAACCTGACTTGTCCCATGACAGATGAACACCGGACGCAGATGAAGGGAATAATTCTTGGGAACATCAGCCACAGCGTTCTGGAGGTAACACACGGGAATGTCAGCAAGAGCCTTGTGGCTAATGTGCGGAGCACAGAGGCACCCTCCAACTGAGAGGCAGGATTGCCAGAACGGGTGTTCATCGCCTGAGGAGTCTGACTTCTGGAGCTGCAAAACATTCACAACAGGGGAAATATAAGAGGCCGTAGCGACAGATTTAGCTTTCAGGCAACCGTGGTGAGGAAGTTACGAAGTAACTCAAGGAAACTGCTTTGCTTCATGTGGCAAAGGAGTTCAATCGGCAAAGGCGTTATTCCCATGACAGGTCCAAATGGAGGTGTTCCAAGTAGTCTTCAGACAACTGAGTTCTGGAGCTTACCCTTTAATGTTCGGCCAAATTCCTCCGACACCAAAATCTATATCAATGCGAGGCAACGCTGATCGTGCTATAAACAATGAATCGCTTCATCAGACCTCATCATACATAAAAACTTATCGGGGGAACTATCCGAGCCCCGTGCAGGCGAGTCCTCCGGTTGGGACGACCTGAGACCTGTAAGCCCAGAGGACTGTGCAGGTGCGCTCCCGGAAACTTTCAGGTATCTATTTAAGCTATCCCTAGAGTCATGCAAACTTCCCAAAGGGAGTAAGCACGCCATCTCGCCGGCCGCTTTCAGAGGAACGGATGGAAGAGGTTTTGACAGCTACAGATGGACCGGTCTACTCTTTATGCTGTCACAAGTACCTAAAAGTCCGACGGCAGAAAAGATTAGCGCGCTTCCAAAAACGGACTGTGAGGTCTCACAAATTTTGATTAGTTTGTTATGTTTGCTGTGTTGAGGTTCGGAACTCCTCAGCAAACATTTCTCCATTCTTTATTCGGTCTAATGATGGTTTCAGAGGATATCTGCGTGGTTTGTTGCAGAAATGTCAGCTGCTCAGCTAAGGCGATGAGTTGTGAGCTTTTCTTTCAATGGACTCACTACAGCCGTAATCCCAGCCAGCCACCTGGTTATTATAAATCACTGCTTGGTAGCCCTTCTGATGAAGATCAGTATGTCTGTCCATGTTGTAGGTCCAAAAGTAAATAACATATGGGCCCAGGGCTAATGAGACAGAACTCCGATCACTTTACAGCTGAGATCTCTACACAAACCGGCCTCAGCCGACAGAAGTCTCATGGCCACAAAAAGATCCCTCAAGTTAGGAGTAAGGGAAGTAGCAAGGTCATCGGTTGTTCTCGGGTAGTAACCGACTCCACTATCAAATGCGCAAATGGAGGTAGGGGGGAAATCACAGCTGTCACGGACTACCTCCTCGTTGGCATGCCCTTGGAGTATGTCCCCTCAGCGATAAACCTGAATCGCACAGCCGATAAGCGCCGAAAGAAAGGTATGAGGAAATGTAGGCGGGTCAGGTCGGTTAAAATTGGAACACCAGGTGACGACCGTAACTAACAAAGCAACGACCACTCAGCCTAATGGGGAGCCTAGCCATAAGTTGATCATTGTCCCTCTTACTCAGGTGAAAAACGTTCTGAAAAAAGCAGATACTGGCCTCACCACCTGCAACTCATGGCGGAAGCCACCTTCGTTTCACCGCCAGCCTTGTTGAATCCTCAAGATTACTCCCACAGCCGGCAGCTTAGATCTTCCCAGTCACCCCAAGAGGCCAATCAGAAATCTTGGTCCTCATTCACAGGGAGAAATAAGCCCCAAAAGGCAGACCATAATCTTAACCGATAGTACACCTCAGTCCAAACACATCCTTCTGAAAGGCAATCAGTTGGTGAAACGTAAACTGTCTGACGTCAGGATTAGGCCTGATAAACGCTGATCAGTGAGAAAACTTCTTCGCAACAGCAAGAAAATCTACTCTGAAGAACTATGCTGCTCAGTAATCACACACAGGACTCCAGAATGTTTGAGTACCGGTACTGCCGAACTTATCCACGACATAAATCAGTGGAGATATATTGTCAGCAAACTCCAAAACGATGTGAGGGCTGAAAGAATTAGTCGTCTTCCAAGGCAGGCTCACCTCTCGACTATTCGTACTTTCAGGCTACTCTAAGTAATCCTTGGCTCTCCGGACGTGGTTAGGACCACCTTGAAATCCTGGCATAATGTATCTGACACATTCCCTTGAGAAATAAAGATAAGTGAGTGCAGACCCGGGGAACGAATAATAATATTTATTCCCAAATATACAGGCACACACCATTTTTACAGGTATGAATAAGTTTACATACAAACTACATTCATCTTCATGGAAGGTAATCTGAATCCCTACCAACAAATTCTACCCCTCCCAGCTTAAGTCAAGCACGCGCAAACCAATACAGGGTAAACGGTCATCTTGGAATCTATAAAGGTGCACTAATGGCCCTTTGGACTGGCTAAACCCTACTGACACCTGTAAGAGATGTCAAGTAAGGATCAGAAATGACAGGATAAACCACCGGACACATCTATGTAGAACCATGGGGGGGGGATCATGGGATGCTGTACTCGCCGATGAAAGAGAAGAGTAACAGTTCACTTAGTTTACGGAACCCCACCGGTCTAAAATTCTTCATTCTAACTCCAAGGTGGCAAACCTACTAGCTCATGGATTCCAAAACAACTTCTGTCATTCAGGAGGTTAAACCATACATCTGTCGGACATCCGTTTTATGGAGGGGCCGGACCATAAAGAGTTTGGACCCTCCGAAATTGTGGAAATATCAAAGCATCTGAACCCGGACAAGTCTCCAGGAACCGGCGGCACTTATACAAGCATAATTAAAGAATGTGCTGACGTTCTGTGCGTCCCTCTTCAGATGCTAGTTTCCGGTAAGCGGGTTACCCTCTAATTGGGAACGGGTGGCTGTCGTCCCAACTTATAGAGGGTGGAAACAAACTGCTTGCCTCCAACTACGGACCGATCTCCCTGACTTCTTTCCAGCTGCGAAAGTCATGGAGAGGGTCATAAACGACTCATTTCACGGTCACTTACTTAAGGAGTCCATTCTAAACAGCCGTCAACATCGCTTTTTACCTGGAAGGTCATGTACCACCAATTTGTCGACGGCTTCGGATGGCTGGACACTCTGTCGAGCAGAAAAAGCCCATTCACATTGGTTTGCTTGGCTTTTCTAAAGCCTTTGACAGGGTGAATCATGATATTGTGACCACTGCAATCTCAGAACGTATTCTAATAAGACAGACGTAGAAACCAAGGAACCACTGTTCACTTCAAATTCCTGAGCTCGAAAAGCAATGTTTGCATTGTTTATCTTTCTTTAAGATTGTCAATGCACCAAAGACTTGCCGACCGCCTGATTTCCTCCTTGCCCAAGCTGGTGAGACGATATTGGACACAGTACTATTGGACTTTGAGACATTTGGACTATTTTGATACAAGTGTTGAAGGTCGTCACCTTGGCGTGGTTTTAAGATGCATAAGCTTTGAGGTTTACTAGACTTCCACTTCACAGTGTGCAGGGGGTCGTTAGAAGATGCTGAGATGCATGTATTTCGGCTTTGCCTTCTCTTAGGATGTATAGGTAACTGAAATTCTTTAATGTGTATGATGGTTCTCCATAGCGCCGAGTATTCTTAATGCATGGCAGCTCGCTTTTGTGACTCCAAATTTTGTTGGATATGGTGAAGTGAGTTATCATCAATCTTCAACATTTCACACATACTTAAGGCTGGTTCTGCTAATATCACTGTTTCCTATGATTTATATTCCGGTCGAAAAGTGGTTCAGAAAACATTCAGTTTTATCCTTCTCCTTGAAAGATATTCCTATCCACGAAGTATACCTGGCTTTTGGTTTATCAGTGCGCTTCAAAATATAGTAAGTCTAACTTGGGCAATTTGATTGTTGAGGCTGAATGGGGTCATGTATCTTTTGAACATGTATAGCTATAAATCAGGCTAGCTAACTTCGAAATTTAGTACTCAGTTTGCAGTAATAGAGATAGTGGGCTGACAAGTTGTTCTTTGTTAGTCCTTGCAGTCGATACCTCTGTAAAGATCTAGGTTTTCCTCGAACACGTTGACTAAAGGAGTTGATACGACGTTTTGAGGTAAGGAGTTCCAGTCGTTGGCCACAGGATACGGGAAACGCAAATTTAATGCTAAGTTAATTTGATCACGGCTTTTGAATTTGCCTGAGATGTCTTTAGAAGTAATAAATCGCAGCAGGGGAGAAAATACAGGGCATATCAGCAGCGAAGTCATCATTAAGGATGCGCAATACTACAGCGGGAATAAGTGTATCTGATCTAGTCATTCCCCATAAAGCAGTTTGAAGAGGGCTGTCGCATGCTTGGTACCTAGCCGAGTGTGTCAACTTTCTTCTATAGACTACTGACTAGATGCCTCAATGCTGTATTCCAAGTGAGATCTAACGTAGGTAGAATAGAGTGTCCTACGTATATCCTTGTTCAAACTTGAAATCTCTGGGTGTAGACCATATTACTGAGGAGCCGTTCGCTGCAGCTGCACTACAGTGCCGTAGTTTTCAAATCATGGCTTATGATGACACCTGTCTTTCAGTTCAAAGACTGGGAGTAGTGGTGTACCATGAAGGGAATGGTGAAATCAGGTGATATGATCATTGTGCAATAATGCACCTTTACTAGGATTAATTTCCAGCCACCAACGTTTGGACCAACCTAAGAGTTCGTCCAAATCCACTCTAAGAGCATACTTATCAGCATCACTACCTATGACACTCCAAACGTTTTACGTCGTCGGCGAACAACAGCACCGAAGAGTTAGGCGTTTGGGATAATTCGTTGAAATCGTAGGATGAGTGGTAAAGACATAGAAAATCATCGTACTCTAAGCGTCTCCTAAAGTTACCTTGGTTTTTTCCCCCTGAAGTAACCGCATGTATGTATATGTGACATGTGTCACTGTGTGCACTTCCGTCCCAATATTATTCTTCATATTAGGTTTTATAATTATAGAGCAATAAAGATTTCAGAACTTTATATTCATCTATCTGAAAAGCTGACTGAATTACTTAAAAAGTGATAGGATCAAAAATTTGACACTCAGACGATTGGTGTTTTCAATGGAACCTGTCGTAAATCGTCACATTTTTGGTTGAGTGTGACCTCGAGAGTACAGACTGATTTAATGTTGAGGAATCTCAATTTTTTGAAATAGTGTATATTATTGGAAATTTGTCTAACCAAGGTTCTTCGTGCAATTGGGAATAAATGGCTTGATTCCGTTCCAGAAATTATTATTGTTGTTTGACAAAGCATGTAAATATGGGCAGCTTATCCATGCATGGTTATCCGTCACTTTTCTTGTTTTTGACAGTTAGTGCGGCTATTGAGTCTTTCTCACCCATCTCCATGGTTCTTACTTTTTAAAACTTAACCACTCCAAACTTCGCTTATAAGATAGTTTGTCTCTTATGAAAAATGTCCGACTTGATTCAGAGGTGAACCCCTCAAAGTACTCATAGAATAAATTATTTTTCACTTAAATTTCAAAACATTACGTAATGATAAAAAACTAATATTCTTACTAAGTTTCACAAAACATCGCACTGTATACAATAATTACTGAAGATTGGAAGTCGAAACCTTCGTCAAAGCAGATAAACTTACTTCGGCTTTCAGTGAAAGCTGAGTAAATACCTATCTAAATCCCTTGCCCTTCAGTTGGAAGTCAGTTCTCTTATCAATTTACCAATGGCATGCATAGAATAGTTTCATTTTGTGTTGCGCATGCCTAATCAGCCTGCCCCGTTGTATATTGTTAGCCTGAGTAACCTCAGGTTGCCAAAAGGTGGCTAGACTAAAAAGTGCCATCAGTTCACGAAGTCTTTGACTGTTGGTCTGAACTGTGTATGGGAATATAGACTTCTCACTCACGGCTTACTTGACAACCTAAGATCGGTGTTTGGCAACTTTAGGTGATTTATCCCAGAGTCTACCTCACTGGCCCAGATGCATCTGTACATCTTAATCGTCGTATCGAATCTCACTACTGTTTCATTATTTCTTGTTCTCTCTTCCCGAATTTCTATCACTTTTCAGTGCCTTCTTTCTTATTTCTCTTTCTCTCGTCTGGATTCTTGCTTGATGTGCTAATATAGTGTGGCAATTCGGACCATAACGTACTACTGCCAGGCCCGATGTTGATATTAATTGACTGACATTTTGTCAGAACACGTACCTTTGCAGATAATTTGTTACCCGGTTTGGGGTTTTTGTCAGATTTCGCGGCATTTCAGCTTGTTAGTAGTGTGTCACTGGTTTTATTCACGTCAACTCAGGTTTTTGGTTAAATTGAATCACCAGCTCTGAATATAAAACCCAATACTCCTTATGTGTAGGGTGCTTTACCTATCATTTGGGTTTTTACAAACTATGTTTCTGTATCCATTCCAAGATTTTGCCAGTCATTAAAAAAGTATTCAGTTGGCTATTTTGTATATATATTTGTGAGAAATTCTAACCTGAATGATTAACATTTTAACATGTGTTCTATAAGTAGATTACTCAATGGTAAATGATTCAATGTTATTGTTTCCTTCTCTCGTAGAGTTTTGAAAATCTTTATCGTGTTATTACTTACACCCAAACAGCCAGTGATTCCAAAATCAGTAATGCAACTTTGAACACCAGCGTTTATGGATTGTTATTTTTGTCCAGGAATAAAGTAACGTGAGTTATTTAATTAATTTGAGATTGTTACATGACTGTGCATAAGTACATGCATTTACTTCATTCTTCTTGATGTAACAAAGTACTGTGTTATTTTCACTCGTCATAACTGATAATTTCAAGTTACCTTTCGAAATCAAAATCTGGAATGGTGTGTCACTTCAGGTATGCAATCACCAAGAGTTTGTTTAGTTATTTGGTAGAAGATTCATGGCGGTACTGGAATGAATTTAAACACTTTGCTGTTATTCTCTTTTCTCTCATTGTTCGACGAAAAGTGGAAGTGTACACTTGCACATTTTGATTATTGTATGTTGAAAACTGTCTACCAAAACTAATAAATTCATTAAACATGATTAAACAGGTGGTCTCCAAAAAGTGCTTAGTACCTAGAAAATGGTAAATACAGTTCACTATCTAATGTCTACATAGTTGACACTTCATTCCAACATACCGTAGTAGGGAAGATAATGTAAATCAAAATATAAAAGGGTTTAAATCTGGGACTTGTGCTTTGAAACAACTAGCCCCTCTTATGAATTTAGATAGTGTACTTAGAAGACAAAGTTTGTCTGAACAATGTCATGTGTGTGCGCAATACATTCCGAACATTCTGATCACACTAGTCAAGTCCATTTATGTTAAACCGAAGAGTGGGAAGACAAATATGACAATTTTGATAATATGCGATTAAAACTAAGAAAGGTGAGGACAAACAGGAAGAGTGACATAATTGATCCTACCTACGCTGGTAAACTTTGTTTTCCTACCAAGATTAGGATCAATCACGTAACTCTTCCTATTTGTTCTCATCTTTCTGAATTTTAATTGCCTATTAATTGTTATAATTGTCTTCCCACTCTTCAGTTTAGTACAAATTAACTCTGGTTTTGTTGTATCGTATTTAAATATCACTTTGTTTTCAAACAATTCATGACTGGAACTCCCATAGAAAAACGCTTGAAGTTGAAGTAAAGCGTTTACCTTATAGTAAACTTGTAATGAGTCTGTTGCGGAGATAGTTTCTCGATTCGGTTCCGCACTTTCCCATCATACTCGACGAACTAATGTTGGATTTGAATCAAACATCAAGTTACAATAACTTTCTAAAGTATAGTATTTTTGTAGGTACATAAGTAAAAATTTTCTGCTATACATGTTAAAACAAAAATAACTTAGACAATCTTTTGCCGCCTTTTACAAATATGTAAAGCAGACTTATTAGATGTTTAGGAAATAATCTTAAGCGAACTTGACAGACGCAAAGGTCATTCACTAATTATTCGTATTTGTTATGTACTCACGAGTGTGAGATCAGGAAAGAACACATTGGAGTAGCCACGTGAGATCGTATGTTTGATAGACCGTACCAAAATACCGGTGCGTCCCGACTAGCTGGCTAGCGGATCGCGTACGAGCAAAACAACGTAACACAATAACATGCCAAATGGGCTGGGTGCTTGACCGTTTGCCTTCAGCTTAACAACATCGTGAATAACATCAATGTTGAATCTTATCGAATTCTAGGCTATTGATTTTGGGGGAATTATTCGCAGCTACAGATATCATTCGGACATTTTCTCATAGATTTTCATTATATTTGTTTTGGTTAGTGGGAGACATAAGTTCCTTAGTTTTAGCTATTAAGGACCAGTTGACAAAAAGTCCTAGGCCTAGGTTTTGCATTTCTTTTCACTAATCAGTATTGTTTATCAGTAGCCTTCGAAAATTCATGAGTGCTTAGCACTAAGCACTTGACGTCTACGTCATCTGCTATCTAATGAATAATTCGTGTGTATGTGAATAATAAAGTACCGGGTGAAACGTTTTGTGTACTTGGTAGCCGAAACTTCGAATTTATGCGAGGATGTTAACTGAAATTGTAGGAAATCGAAAGGTTTGCTAACATTCAAACCTGCAGTATACCAAGTCTCTTTACATGTAAATTTGCGAAATTGGGAACCCTAGCTGTCGATAAAGCTACTATTTGACTCCAGTGATTGAGTACTGTGTACAGCTTTCTTGTGAATAAGATATATACATCTCCTCACCAGTTTGAATAATTAGGAATAGCTACGTATTTAACCAATCCGTACGCAAATTGGACATGATACTTAATTACTTTAGTGAAAGTGAGAGGCGGTCTGTAAGTCGGTCATCCTAGATCAGATTGTCGATTGATGAACCACTAATCACATGTCTACCTGTTCAAATACAAAGTCAGCTCAAGTTTTATCCGAACTTCAACCACTCATTTCTATATGATATCAACCCTTATCAATCAAGGCTACTGCGTTGCATAGTCTAATTTCCAGTTTCTGTCTTATAACTAGTTGTACTGTAGTCGGTAACTTGATACTGCCGCTTATGGATTGTCTTATAACAAGTGAGATTTTGATTAGAAAATTATATCATTGAACCCGTTATTTACTGTCGAAACAAACAAGCAAGTTTTCAGTCCAGTAAACTCCCAGTGTCACCTCTTTCTATAACCTTAACCTAATAGTCCATGGTATTTTATTTTAAAGCTACTATGCGTATGTAAGACCTTAAACTGTTAGTCACATTCACGATGGCATTACTAAATCAACCGCATTTTAAAACAGTAAAAAACAAATTTTTTTGAAATGCATTGAGATGTGGTCCTGTAATCTACGTTTTGCGGTTATCAACTAATGGATTATGGGTTCAAGCTGTTCTCCACATACTTTGACCTTGTTGATCTGGTTGGATCGTTAGCTTAGTATACACACCTGTATTGGGTTAATAAACCATATCAGTCGTTTAGTATTCAGTCACGTTAAATAGTGATCAATATCGAGTCAGTCTTATATCTAAGATGATACCAGTCAAAACAGTCAATGAGAATCAGGGAAAAATTAATTGTGTATCTGTTTCATCCTGTTTTATTTTTCCCTATATAAATTCTTCATATTACTCAAAACGCTTTGATCATTTAACTTATATTTACTGCGTTGTCGATCTAAAACTTGCTCCATATGTAGAGTTTATCAGACACTCAATAACTCAAGACTGAAAATGAAACATGTCTTTAGATTTCGAGGTTTTCAAACAGAGGGCAAAGACACTGTTTGAGAATACCCTGACTGAAATAAAGTGACTATTATTTGACCCTCTAAAAAGAAGTTAAAGTGAATTAACCAACATTTTGTCGTTTTGCACATAATTCATGATATCAAGTCAGTGGGGTTGCAGAAAATGGCAATTAGTGATATTATATTAAACGTTAAGATCTATTAAATAAACTCATTGATTTATCAGTATATCAGTATGTAGTGAGTAGTTTTGAACGAAACCTTCTTCCACTGATACAAAGAAACAACCAATGGATTCTATCCTGAGTAAAGGTAAAACTATAATATTAACAGTTTCTTCAAGTAGAGATGATGATGCTATCGTTCTTGTTGTTGTTTAAAGTACGGACACATGTTATCACGTTTTGTTTTTTAAATTTTACTTGTTTACTCCAATTTCAGGGGTTATGTCAGTATACCATCCTCAGAAATATATCCTTCTGGCGCTACATTTTTCATCAAACCAGTAAAATCAAAACAACGAAATGACTATCAGTCACTTCACTCTTCGACTATACATCATCAGTCCAGTATTCCACATAACTTGACTATATATCCTGTGGATGTGATAACTTTAGAAAACCATATTCCACCGTCTTCCCTCATTGAGAATCCGAATCAGTTTGAATCAATTGACACAAGTGCAATACTGCATTCTCCAGAATATAATGATTCAGATTTACTAGACGATGACAAACTAACCGATCCCTTAATAACTTATTTAAAAGGGTGAAACGATGTGAGTTTTATTTATTCTTTGAACATGTCCTTTTGAAATTTTGTGTACAGTAAATTATAAGATGAGACGAGAAATAGAGTTCGTTTTTTGTACTCTAGCGGAAGTCACTATTGTAAAAAAACTCCTTTTTGTATGATAATAAATGATACTGTCGTATGAATGTGGAAGTAAATTACTTCTGGTGCACGCAACTCCCTGCATGTTGTTTTAGTAGTCCATTTTAACATTGAACAGCTGGAACATATGGCGGGCGAAGGTGGAAGATAGTAATCAGTTATTAGTTTTTTAAGTGATTTTTCCAAAGCATTATTTACTTTTCGTAGAAAGACAAAGTGAGCAATTTTGAGGTTAGTCGTTAATTCCGAGGCAAGGAAAGTAAGCCAGGTGATCTGATTGCAAAGTTTCATTGACTGAGGTATCTGAGTCGTCAGTTAGTTTCAATATGCGACATGGCATTACTACGTTAATGTCTTATTTGCTACATTTCACATAAACACAAAAGGCGAGGAAACAAGATAAAAATCAGAGAAATGGGAATAATATAATCAAAAATCACAGAAAGCCATATGATGAAAAGAAGAGATACTAAGTGATGATTGAAGATGAAATAAAAATTTGGACCACGGCGGGATTGGAACCAGAGACAGCCGCGTCTCCGGCCCGGTGCTCTACCAGCTGATCTACGAGGTCCAACTGCTGACCAGATTTTTATCACTACTAGTCTGCCAAATCACGACTATCTCACATAGTCAAAATGAGGTTGAAAAGAAGAGAGACTAAAGCAAATAACGAAATGCGGTATAACGATTGTCATGAGTATACGGCGTGGTGCATCTGCGCCATGTCTACAGCATATATTACGAATGCTATGCTACCGTTTGGTGCAATACGCTATGTTAACTAAAGGTCGTTCAGTTTTGAAGAAACTCAGTGGCGATTAGACTCAGATATAACATCAATACATACAGTCACTCGCTGCCTATTTGAGCCATATAAAGGTGATTAGGGTACCTAACTTGGGATTCTCTGTATGTTATAAATCATTGGTTGAAGAATTTCGGCAACATTGCTCAATATGGATCTCACTAAAGCAGATATATTCATTCTTTATCATCTTCGAAATCCTGAACATTTTGTCAACCCTTATTAATTAGCCCTCCTCTCATTTCTTTTGTGTTTACTTAGTACCCTTCCCCTTTTCTTGATTTTCTGTTTACGCTGTCAAAAGGTGTGACAACTTTTACTCCTTTATAAAAGGTTCTACCTTTCTGTATGAACAGTAAAGAGGAATGTTGGTTGACAGAATAGGTGAACAGTTTTTCGCGACCTTTTTCATCTCTACAGTTCAGCTTGCATAGGAAATATTACTTTGATCTGTCTAGGTAAATTATAATAAAATCTCATGCGAATTTTCATATCACCAAAACAACAAATATTTTTTTTAATAGTACAGAGTGACTGATTTGTGTTAAAGGCTATTTACCTTATGTGTCTGTGTCCAGTTTCACATTATATCAGTTAAATACTTAATTTATTGTATATTAATTTATAAAGTCTAACAGTTTTGTAATACCCGTAATTGGCAAGGTGTTGTATGTATATAATCTGACCAGTAAACAATAGTAAAAGCGAATTTACTAATACAGATAAGTCACTGAACTATAATCGATTTATTCTATCTGGACCAGTGACCAGTAGAGTCAACCAGGTTGAACATGAGGATAGTTACGTGAGCTAACAGAAAAAGGAAATATAGGCCATTCGGTTCCGACCCAATGGCTTGATGGTAACGTGCTGGCCACCGAACCTGAAGGTCCCGCGTTCGATTCCTGGCGCAGAGGGGTCATGAGTGCGGACCGCTGAAGAGCCCCATACCGGGACGAAACGCCTGTCCAGTGCTCCTAGGTTTCCACTGTTCCTCCAACTGATATCAGTCCGTTATGAATTCCAACCTATAATCGATTTAGTTATCAAGTCCTAAGTGGTAATCACAGTCTCCTGATGAAGTCTGAAATATAATAACCGCTACCAGTACCAGAAAATTGCAGCTCACTAGGAGAGAGTTGTACATATTAAGAGATTATCGGTAGGAAGTCCTATTTCAGCGATGTTACAAAGAGGTTAGTGTGGTATGATGTCATTGTGACGGATCATAGGAATGTTGATTCACCTTCTAAACCGAATTACAAATCTTCCTGAGAAGGTCCCTTTAGTTTGTTTAGAGTTATTTATTATATGATTCACCTTCAAAATAGTCTACCATTACATTGCATTTTTCGAAGATTTACCTCGTCATTTTAATTTTGATATCCATCTCTTGAAAGAAAGCCACAATCATTCAATGCTACACACCCACGAGTAATGCAGATGAAGAGAAGAAGGAGGAATTCTACAGACAACTGCAATCAGCATTCGACAAGACCCTTACCCAGTTGGCGACATCAAAATCTATTCTAATGAGTGACATGTTTTAATGCCACACTGGGAGCGGACAACACAGGAAGAGAACCAATCATGGGTTGAGAGGCACTCGGTGAAGTGATGAACGAGAATGGAGAATTGTTTGCAGACTTCAGTGCATTCAACAATTTGGTGATTGGAGGCAGTGTGTTCAAGCACAAAGATATCCAGAAAGCGACATGGATTTCACTTCACCGGATGGACAAACTAAGAATCAGATCGACTTCATCTCAATGTGAAGAAAGTGGAGACGCAGTCAGCCTACTGGACACAAGATCAGATCAGATGAGATCAGATGAGATGAAGGAGGGGAGCAGATGTAGGTTCACATCACTCACTGCCTAGTTAGTGCAAGGAACCTACCTGCAAAATCAAGCTGGAAGCCTTCAAACAAGCTGGTGATAGACCACAGTTCAAGTTGAACATCCACCCAGAACAGGAACTGAACTGATGGGAGAAACTACAAGGGACATCTTCACATCATCCATGAAGACAAAGTGGGAGATATCGAGCAACATCGCTGAAGAGACCTGCGTGGAAGAACACTGGAACTCTTTGAAAGCTATGTGGAGAGAAACCTGCATAACCGTGTTAGGAAGGAAGGAGAAGAATCGGGACAGGACAGGACATAACAGGCTGCAGGTAGGAGAGGAGGAGCCGAAATGGGAAACGACGAGTTGGGCGGCCAAGGCGAGAGTGACATGGTGGAGATGGTGTTAGGAAGAAATGATAGGTTACAGGCAGTGGTGGAGCCATTTTGGATATACTGCAGAGAAGGGAGTGAAATGGCGAGGTGCTACTGAAGCCCTATATTCCACTGGGGACCTGTCATGAGCTGACAGAAATTGGAAATATGGATCACTGGGCTGCGACCCACTGGTTGAGTGGATAGGTGCTGGCCACGAAACCTGAAGGCCGTGGGTTCTGTCCCTGTCGGGGTCGTGGGTGTGCACTGCTGAAGAGTACAAATTGGGACAAAACAGTTGTCCAGTGCTCCCAAGTTTCCAACTTTTCTCTAACTGATGTCAGTCCACGATGAATACAAACTTGAAATAATAATGATTGTTACATGTATCGCAAACATTGTTCCTCATAAGGTTCTTTATGATGCTTCATGAATATACTACAGGTTTCGCTTACATCTTTGTTTTGTCGCGTAGAGAGATCTGGTAATATTGCTTTCATCATTCTCTGAAATGATCTGTAAGGCATTGTGTATAATTCGTAGCAATGCAATCCAACGCTGTACACCTTTATGTGCTAGGCTATGAGTCATTCCCTATGTGTAAGTGTTAAGAAATATATCTACCTGTGTCCATTATCACATACAGGTGTGTGTATTAAGTTGTTTGAAATAACAGGCTACTACAGTAAGTGAGCTTTGAAAAGTTTGAGCTCAAATAATCTCAACGATTAAGATTCAGATGTTTCTTCTGATCAACTTATCATTCTTCTTCTTCTTCTCCTTCTTCTTCTTCTTCTTCTTCTTCTTCTTCTTCTTCTTCTTATTGTTATTATTATTATTATTGTTATAATTTGTCCCTTGGGTTCCTAGTGGGCTTCAGTAGCACGTCTCCATTCCACTCTGTTCTCTGAAATTTTTTGAATCTGGCTCCACAACAGCCCAGAAGCTCTCGTTTCTTCCTCACACGATCTCCTCAATGTCACCCTCACCTCGGACGCCCATCTGGGTTCCACTCGACGACCTGGCCTTGCGCGTGATGTTCCCGAATGGTCTTCTCAGTGCATGCCCAATCTATCTCCACTTCCTTCTGCATATTTGTTGAGCAATAGGTTCTTGGTTGGTTCGTTGCCCGGCCAGAGTTCCTTGTTGCTGATTCTTATTATTCTGGCCATCTGATCTTCAGTAACGAGCGTAGGCAGTTGTTGATGAATATCTGTAGTTTGTTGGAAATCCCTTTCATAACCCTCCAAGTCGCTCAACCACCTTTGTTTCTCTTCTTTAGTAATTATATTTCCTTCATCATCTTTTATTGGTTTTGTCTGTGTTGATCTCTTCCCAGATAGTGTCCATCTCGTGAAATTCATGTCGCTTTCTGGATATCTTTGTGCTTGAACACACTGCCTCCAATCACCAAATCGTTTAAAATGCACTGAAGTCTGCAAACAATTCTCCATTCTCGTTCATCACTTCACCGAGTGCCTCTCAACCCATGATTGGTTCTCTTCCTGTGTTGTCCGCTCCCAGTGTGGCATTAAAACATGTCACTCATTAGAATAGATTTTGATGTCGCCAACTGGGTAAGGGTCTTGTCGAATGCTGATTGCAGTTGTCTGTAGAATTCCTCCTTCTTCTCTTCATCTGCATTACTCGTGGGTGTGTAGCATTGAATGATTGTGACTTTGCTTCGTTTTGAGTTGAATCCATCTTGCTGTCATGATCCTGATGTTGCAGGAGGAGATTGGTTCCCACTGCATAAGGGCGTTCGAGGCTCTCGAGGACATCATGATAGTCACACCATAACTCAGTGTGCTCGTGATTATCTTCTGGGTGACAATATTGGAGTAGATTATTGACT